AACTTGCTGAGCCATAGGGACTTCTCAGTATCATACCTCTCTATGTCTGTGTTCTTCTGACATGCTTGGGTGCCTTTTATCAGCTGCAACAAGAGATAAAACACTGGGCTTGACACATCTTTGTGACTGCCTTGGTGTGAGAATGAGAATAATGGACTAGACCAGCGTGTTATTTATCTGCAGCGTCCCAGTACTATTTTTACTTTTGAGATTCTTAAACAGATTTTTTTTTAAGCAGACCAATAAAATACATGCCATTTTCCAACTTCTGCTGAAACAAACCGAGGTACTCCATTGTTCAAAATATGTTTTCACCACCTTATGCAGCACAGTATTGCTTACAAAACCACCCCCAAATAGAAGGTCTTGAAACAGCTGTGCAACATCCTTGCCCTATTTAGCAAGGCAGAAATGGATGATGTTCCCCTCTCCCAACTCCATCAGTGTGAACACAGCACACTGCAGTGGCCACTTTCCCAGCTATCTCCTTTTACTGTCATTTAAAGAGAAAAGCTACTTAGATATCACCACACGAGGTTTTCTAAAGAAGTAAAGGCAAATCAAGTTACTCAAGTAGAAGAGTAACCCCCGACACATCAGAAGAATTTGCAGTGAACTAAAATGTATTGAAAGTGATTTTGATCTCAGTCTTGTGTTTTCCAAAACTTGTGCACCACAAACAGGATTATTGAGATATCGTGATCAAACCCAAATAAGTTTTAATAACAAGTTCCTATCTGCAGTAAATAGCTTCAGCTTGGAACTCTAAGGCTTGTATCACAAAGAACAGTTGACATCTTCTGCAGGGGTTTCCACTTGAAGTGCAATAACTTCTCTATCAGAGGTTTCTATAGAACACATGCTTACAAAGGAAAGAGGATAATACAGAACAACATTAACTTTTTTTCCTTCAACAAGAGGTTATATAATGGAACTACTAAACTTGGACTACTTCCTTCAGAACACAATGCAGCACTAAAGATACAGTAAACTAAGAGAAATCTGACAGACACCCTTCCTAAGGCTACTGACTGCAAGAGCAGCCACGGAATCTGGGATCAGTGGTTCAAGGGAAGTTCCTTCCACAGCTGATGATCTTTCCTTCTATGTCAGCCAAGTACAGAGGATGAATACAACAAACAACTTGAACACTGTTTTGCAGTACCAGGGGCTATTCTAGGTTATAACCTTTCTAGAGGTAGCCTGAGTTCACTCAAAAGTAAATTAAGTTTAATTCATACAGGGTATGATTTTTGCCTTTTTTTTTCCCCTTCATCTCCCCACAGATGATGATTCATTTCTTCTGATTCCTCTACTGGAAATATTTCTTCAGCTTGTCAGAATAGTGAAGTGCAGGATTACACAACACAATTTTCTGGGAAGCTGACATATGCTCAAACATTTCATTATAATTGACTTGGACTTAACAAGCTGAGTTCATGTTGTGCAAAATAAATCAAAACTAGACAGATCATTTTCTCATAGCATATAAGGAAAGAATAGGAGAAAGAGTATAGAAACTTGCATATTGTGGTTCAGTGTTTTAAAATCCTGATCTGCAAATGGTTTATCTAATTTTGAGACTATCACATCAGAAAAAAAAAATTAGAATAAAAATGTGATCAAGAGTCAAATGAACTAAGTCACTAAGATAAATGCACAGAGTAGATTTTTTTTTAAAACAGAGACCAGATGTTTGAAAGCCCTTTAACTGCCTTTACCTATGATGCTTTCGAATTTTATTTCAGGTTTGGTTTTGGCATTTTTTTTATAATTCAAAAGCATAACTGAAAAAAATCATTTAATACTACACCACATGACTACGCTGCATTCCTTAGGATTTGTGACATATGTGCTAGACACCAGTGTCAACAAGATATTTAAATTCATATTGCCACAAACACATGTCTATAAGGAAATCAGCACACTGGAAAATTCTGATCTTGCTTTAGGTTTGTTTTAAATCAACATCACTTTGCAACAGTAGTTTCCAATGGATGTTGGGTGATCAGCACCAACAACCTTGCTCTGCAAGGCTGCTTATAATGTGTCATTTAATAATGCAGAATAGCATCTAACTACACATTAGCTGATGAAGGATGAAGCAGCTGAGCACGTGCCAATACGGAAATCAAGAGCTCAGATTCAGTGTTAATGATTTCTCTGCTTCTGATATAAAATTTCCTTACTACATAGGCAGTCCCCATTAAATTTCTTCACACGTGTAATTAAAGCAAGAGAGTAACTTAGTTTATCCACCACAGCAGTAACAGAACACATCAGAAGCCTTCAAAGTTTTAGGTTTGACCCTTTTTTCCCTCTGGGTTCTCTAAATAACTTTAAATCTGTAACACACACACATGCACCACCCCCACACACGCCACCTTTCAGAAATTAGGATTATGAATAGCCTGCAAATCCTGTTCTCCCTTTCTACAGGCAATGCCTTAAGTTATTAAAAAACATTCTTTCTGTTTTGAGATGTCATTCATCAGAGTAGTTGCTTCAGCTTGGCTTCCACTTGACTGCTCACTCATAGTCAAAAAAATTCCTGTAGTATAAAGCCAGGGTCAACAGTTAGCAACTGCAACATTGAATTATACACCAAAAAATTGTTTTCTGTTTCGTTACAATGGCAGAAAATACTTATTTTATCTTTAATTATCTGAAGAAAAATTTAAAACTAAATCAGGTTCAAATCAATGCCCTCACAATGTTTTGTTTCTTTCAGAACACGATGTAAATTATAGTTTTCACCTGATTATCTTCAAAAGTCTTCACAAACACTGAAGATTTTGGTAGACCAGTTGGTTGGAGAGAAGAAAATAAAAAAGATACTAATCTGAAGGGGCCTAATCCTGAAATTTCACTTGGACACCTAATCAGTGCAATTTGTAGAACTCTGTGCTTCCAGTGAAATCAATACAACTCCACAGCTATTTCAACTCCCTCTCAAAAATTTAAGCAGAGCTATTCAAAAGTATTTATTAAAAGTACAAAAACACATTAACCTGTTGTATAAAAACTAATTCCAAGAGTGCAGAGAATCTGCAAAATCTGGAGTACTTGTGTGTCCGCAGATCAGAGCTCAATTTAGAGACACCTGAACTAGTTCTAAGTAATTTACCCATCCTAGAACAAAGGTCTGCCCAACAGGTAGAACCCAGAGCTCTGCTCAGGTCCCTAACACAGGCACACTGCTTCCAGAACTCAAGGAATCCTATTTGGAGAGAGAGCTCTGTTACACCAGAGTACCTGTACCTCTGGTGACCCACAGGCCAGACGGGCAAGAGCATCCAACAGTATCCAAGGCCAGATTTCCAACAGTATCCAAGTAACAGTGGGGGCAGAGAAGAGCAGGCAAATGGCAGGGAGACACATGACAACTGAAAACGGTGCTGATACCCTCCTTCCCATCAGCTGCACTTTTTAGCAGACAGCTTCACCCAAACACACAGTATTTTTGCCCCTTCCCCAAGATGCTCCGTTACATCTGTGGCAAGAGGAAATGAGATTTGAGGCAGTAGATCCAACGTGAGAATGTTGCATTAGATCTATTCTGGAGACTTTTCTATGCAAGGGAACTCTTTATTTCTTACCTTAAAGCAAAACAGGAATGGCAGGGGACTGGAAATAGCCAAGCATTTGGCCTAGAGGTAATTATTTTAGAAGTATTTGAATAATAGCAAATCGAAGAATCAGACATCTGTCACTCCTAATTCAATTAAATTCTGCTGCTGGCTCTCAACCCACCCTAAAAAAGCCAAGTAAAAGTATCAGTGACAGGAAGAGGAGGAAAACGCCTTGTTGTTCAGCATGAGGTTTAAAACAGTCAGTGCTCAGAAACTACTGCCTTACAGCACAGTACAAGTTAAGACTTTAGGCAAGAAAGCCCTAAAGTTTTGAGTCCCATTTCCAAACAGAATTCACGTTGATAATTGATGGGCAGAGGTCATCTTGTCTGCAAGCCAGACAGCTGACTATCCAAGCACAAACATTATCTCCTGCCCATGGATGAAACTCAGAAAACTGGCATTACGCTGGATTCTTGCAAAGAAATACATCTCACCAAACACATCTGGAGTTATTCCGTTTCTTTGCCTTTGGCAACATTGGCTTCCTCTGTGGCAAGGGGTTTTTGGAAAGTGGGCAATACTAAATACCTGATATTTCACTGAAAGCAGAATCAAATAACTCTTTCCAAAGAGGGCAGTCATGCTCATCCTTCAGGTGTTTTCGTGCATTGAAGCTCCATTTCATCCTGTGTAAGTTAGTCTTATATGTTTCAAGATTTGTATCCAGCTGAACTGGAATCTTTCTGGCGACAGTGCTGCATCCATAAAAGCAGCAGCCTGAAACTCAACAGAGCCTTTAAGTACATATTAAGCTTTACTGTTAATTAAGGGATTTAGAGTTTTCTGCATTAAAGAATTTAGTAGCACTAAGAAGGTGGTACTTGGGTATCCAAAAGCCTAGATCACAGTGAAAGATGACTAACTGTAAGACAATCTCCACAGCAGCACTCTTCCCAAGGTGCACCATGGATGCATCCTTCCTCATTAACAAGGCATGTATTTTTACATGCAATGGGTGTGAGAATTTCTGAAGTTACTTGGAACTCAGACCCTCTACAGTTCCTCCAAACCACAGCAGAAATGCAAGTTTTTAAAGCCTTGAGAAGAACCAGGTAGTTTTTCTGTAGGTAAACTTATTAGGTGAAATGGTTTCAGTGGTAGAGCATTGCATTTATAGCATCACACTACTAATTTTCACATCTAATCAGTTATTCAAGGAATGGAAAAGCATCAGACATCTCCTCTTCAAAATTATTTCCAATAATCCATCAAGTGATGAAAATGCAACAGCTGATTTTTTTTTCTGCTCTGTGACTATAATGACTTGCAACGAAGTTAGCCCTGTATTCTTGCATCCCATCATTATTTCACGGACAAGTCTGCAATAATTCACATTATAAATGCAATGAAGAGTAAAAAACATACCAAAGAAAGGGGCATTTAACACTTTCACTGCAGTGCCCTCCACATCATGCCATTCTCAGTCTGGGAACATTTGCCAGGTACACAGCAACCTAATATAAAAAAACAAAGAATATTTAGGAGAGAGTATAATTTTCACAGTCCTTTTGCAAGTCACCTGAGATTTCTAAGGTATCAGTACAGAGTTTCCAGTTTTCTTTTATACATCATCTAAGAGCACACTCTCTGAGTTCCTCTGGAAGCTCTCTCTTCCCCATTTTTGCAAAGTCCTTGCTTTAGTACATCAGCTTTAGTAATTCATTGTTTACAGGACAGTCCAATTGTACAAGTTAAGTGACTGGCTGCTGCAGTAACTTCTAGGTAAAATTCAAAACTGAAAAAAAATTACATAAATACATTGTGACAAACACAATCACAACACGACAGAAATAAGATGTGGAGGCAGTCCAACTCAGCAGGCTGACCAGCAACAGCACTGGAAGCAGTCTGCAGTTTGTCACAGAGTTGTTCAGGTTAGGAGGGACCTCTAGAGGTTACCTGGTCCAACCCCCCTGCTCAAGTAGGGCCATCCCAAGCTTGTTTCCCAGGACCATGTCCAGGTAGCTTTTGATTATCTGCAAGGAAGGAAACTCCAACATCTCCAGGCAACCTGGTCCAGTGCTCAGTCACTCTCAGAGTAAAGAAGTGTTTCCTCACGCTCAGACAGTGCCTCATCTGTCACTGAACACCAGAGAGGAGCCTGCCTCTGTCTGCTTTTTACCCCTCCCATGGGTGTTTTATCTAACTTGAAGATATTTCCTCCTCTGAGCCTTATCTTCTGCCAGCTGAGCAGTCCCAGCTCTCTCAGCCTTAAACACCTTGTGGCCTTTCAGGGGATTCTCCCAAGTTTGACCATTTCTCTCCTGTACTGGTGAGCACAGAATTGACACAGAGCACCAAGCACAGTCTTACTGGTGCTGAGTAGAGGGGAAGGACCAGATCCTTTGACCTGCTGGGAACACTCCTCCTAATGCAGCCGAAGATAACATCGCCTGCTTTCACCATGAGGGCATATTACTTTTTTATCACATGTAAAAATCCCCACAAATTCTCAAACTCCCCAACAATAGTGTATTAATATGAAAAAATTCTGGTATGACTAATAAATTGCTAAACACTTCCAGAGCAGCTATTTGTTAAGTATACCTCAAAAGATTTGAATACAGAAATACACACCATAACTTAAGAAGGATCACAGACACAGAGCAGAAATTCATTTTGTATCCTTTCAATGATCTGCTTTCAATCTAGATTTTGGACCAAGGTGCATGGGGGCGGGGAGGAGAAAACAAAAGCAAATGCCACAGATGAAGGAAAACAACTAATTCCAGCATCACTGTGGCAAACTGATGGAAAACTCCAGCTAGCCACTGCCACTGATTTTTGTCCTAACAAATTAGATATCCCCTTGCCCTTTCACAACTCACTCAGCAGCCCTGTCACAGGTAGATTGCTTAAAACTCCACATGCAGACATAACTCCTCCTGGCTTTTAAGACTGGGCAGACATTTGGTTCCTGAGCCTCAGCAGTTCCCAGTGAGCATCCTGAATGCTCCAACTGCTGCATCCTCACTGCAGATGCAATGAATGCACACATGGAAGACTAAAAAGGGAAGTTATCAACGTGATATTGGGAGCTGAGCCTTTGCCCTGAGGTCAAAGAGAACAGCAAAATTCAGCACACAGACAATTAAAGAAACACAGTGCTGGCATGAGGAAACCTTATTGAGCATTAAAACTTCAATGTCTGGCAAGCTGATTTAGTGTTGGTTCAGATAAGAATAAAAATATAGTCTTACTTTGCAGTGTAATTGATAGTAGAATGTTTTCCACTTACGTATTTTATACACATACACAGGAAAGGTCAATTTGAAGTAAGTATTGCAAAGAGTTTATTTTCTATCTTAGACAGGAAATCTGTCTTTCAGCTGCTCTTTTGTCACAGATTTACTCTACATACAGACCCATTTCTCTTTCCTTAGTATCATACTAGTGAAATCTACAGGAATCAAACTTAAAATCCTGCATAAAGACGAATATTTACACATTCTGAAAAGTAGGAATGGTATTAGTGCCTCTTGAAGCCTGACACAACCAGGCAATGGTGCATTTCCAGGTTCTTCCTACTCCTATCACTACCTTGATTTTGGCCCCAGCTAGTTTTAAATCTACTTTCCTTGATGTTATTAGCAGTTTGAAAAGAAGCAAGTGCAATAAACCCAGAGAGCTGACTCTAATCTCACGGGGTTCTGTCACACCCACCTCTGCCACCAGAGCTGCCTTGTCTCCATTCTATATCAGGAACATGGAATCAGATACAGTCAAACACAATCCATAGTATGAACACATTCATCCTGCCAGTGACACTCCGAGACTGAGAAATCAGAGCTAACTGAATTTGATGAGAAACACAAACCTAAAGTAACTGCTTCACAACTGAAGCAGTTCCATTAATAGACATAGTAGAAATACCTTAAAAAAATATCAAAATACTCAAAAGAGTACTTATTCAGAGAATTCTTTACAAAAATTTGACTCAGTAGGTAACTGATAAATAGAGAAAGTTTTGGAATTGATCCCTCTTCAAGCTTAATGTTCACTACTACAACTCTGCTAAATATTAACAGAGGGATGGGGGTTCTAACAAGTAACTATAACTATACTCTTTAAATAAGAATGTGGGAAGCATTATATGCTTATACCTCAGCAATACAGCAATCAAGTACAACCTGATCACAGAGGGCTGATCCCAAAATGAAGGGATCCCTGGAGCTCAGCCAGCCTACACCTTTGCTCCACAGGAGAAAGGAGGTATTTGGAGCTCTGATGTCCATCTAACCTGATAAAATTCTCACAACTTTCCTGGGTACTCAATTCCTGTTCTTTGAAATGCAATATGAAATGCAGAAGACCATGTTAGCCCCGTCAACACATACTGCATGTTCATACTGTAAGCTTATTTTCAGGACCCTCTGCCCAAGATCACTAGGAAAAAGTCACAGAGCACACCACCTTGTTAGAGGACAGGGGAGAAATCAAAGGCTTCCTCAAAATCTTAGGAAGAAGGAATTCCATTTGGCTTCTCATCTAATTCCAGGACACTAATTCAGTCTTCACTTATTGGGATAATAATTATTTTAGATCATAGATAATTCTGCTCCTTTCCTCTAGATTCCTCCTAGGGAGGTTCCTGTATTATGTTTTCAGGGCAGTTCCTTAAGAGGAAAAAATGCCGGTATGTGACAGCTCCCAGCAATATGGGATGAAAAACAATTCCTCAATCTCTAGAAATACAGCCAAAGACTTAAATGAGGGAGTGCTTCATTGCAGGTTCAGCTTTTAAACATTACTGGTGCCAAGGTACTCTTTCTATCTCCTGGTACAAAAATATCACGAGGCATATATTCTGCTTTGCTATATAAAACCTGCCAAATTCAGCCTCTATTCCCATTCCCTCATCTCCCTTCCCACAGTGCTGCACACGGTTGTTTAAAAATTAAAGCCTTCACTTCTTTGAAGATCCTGTTGCACTGGAGAACATTTTCTTGCTTAAAACACTTGTTTCTGAATCAGACTTGCAAAGTTCGGTATCTGGTGGTATATCTCAGATGCATCCAAATAACCATGAACATATCAGACTGTGCTTGGCTATTACTTATCTTGGCATAAATCAAATTACATGCCTTAATAGCTTGGGAGCCATATCCTAGAAAAGTTTGCAAGAATCCACATTCAAGAGGTATCAGAATGAGCAGAGGCATCAGACCTTCTACTCAATGGAATGAATCCGTTCAATTCTGAATAAAACTGAATCCTGGTTTTGTGCTGTGTTTAGGTGTTTGGGTTTAGGTGGGGTTTTTTTTTAATAGATACAGATCTCTAACAATCCTATAGGGTTGCTATTTGCAAATCTCACTTCCAGAAGAAGGGAAGAAAGATATTTTTGCCAGCTAAACCTTTCAGTCATTTTTATTCCTTTTAGAATTTCATATAACTGTTATTTTAACTGCTTGTAACTTTTCCATTCTTGCAAAGACTGGCAAAAAATTTTTAAGTATCCGAAAATTATTTTTGTAATTTTGAAAATGGCTGTAACCATCAAGGCTCTCTGGTTCTTTTCAAACTGCAGCCATATTGCAAGATAAAAGCAGGATGAATTCACAATTTAGTTTTATTGTTTGATAGCACAGCAACTTCAGCTGTACCTTTAAATGAGATGAACAGCAGTGGCTGAAGTACAGTATTCAGTCACATTTTAGACCACTGGTGCAGAAGATAGAAAACTTACTTATAAATTGCATTTGGTAATAAACTACTGCAAATACATCATATTGTTGAAGCTTTTATGTTCTGTACAAGCAATATTAGCACTCCAACATGACACTACAAATCCTTACATTGGGACAGACAGGAAGGGGAAGAAAGTCACGAGGAACATCTGAAACTGGACTAAGCCTTTCCCTAAAGGCCTTCTCTGAAGTCGTGGTTAATGCATGAACCAGGTCAATATGCAAGTTTGTATTATGTACAATCATCTGATGGAAAAGGACTTAATAATAAGCGAACTACAGCTGTTAAAAACAAAAACATAAGACAGACTTCAAATTTTCCAGAAGATTATAGGAGGGGTTAATTGAGGTTACAGCACTTTTCTACAGTGCACTGCTGGACAATTTGCTTAACAAAACCAGGACAAATCCCAATTCAACTGCAATGCCTGAAAAAAAGGAAGAGACACCAACATGTGTTAAGTATGTAAAAAAGTCTCCAGCATTCTTTATGGATGTGAAAAGGGAGAATGAATCTTTCATTGCTTAGAGGGAACATTTTTGTCTTGCCAGAGGACAGATTCCCAAGGAATGACATTTTCCTACAACCTGTAATTTTCTCATTTATCATTTGTCAGGGCCCAAAGACCTTCTACTGCACATAGAATGTTTGCACATGTTTAATCATCCTTGTACCAAACAAATGTCACAGTGTGAATGAGGAAATCAGTTAATATCACTGATGACCCTAATTTAACACCATTAATATCACACTGTGAACAGTTACTGAACCTACAAGGTCTGGTATCACAGCTAAGCTCTGGTGGTTGCAAGTCTGTTCTCCAGCACACAGCACCAAGGGAACCCACACAAATATCACAATCAAGGGAATGTGATAGAATTTTTAAAGACTGCTTTGATTCTACAGTTAGACTACTAAACAAGTGTGACTAAAGACAGACCATTTGACAGAGATTTAGATGTGCTAATTAGAACTCACTTATATACACACTCACAGATGCCTCCACTTTCATCAGTGAGCAGTCAGAAAAGAGTCCAAAAGGACCACAAAAACCATTCCACCATGAGACTGTGAGATATCCAGCAAGAGCTAAAGATTTACTTAGTGATTTACAAGGCAGAAGACACATTGCAGTGTTGTCTTCAATGGCAACTATACCATCTTGCCCTTCTGTATGCACAGTTGAGTCACACTTTGTAAAATAACTTCTCTGCACACACTATCTATGAAAAAAGCTTTCTAAGAGTAGAATCATATAATTTTTTCTCTAAGCCATTCATGTCTTCTACACACTTTCTCTGAAAAAGAAAGGATGACTTAAGGGAGTCAGATTATTTAGAAAGTCCTTCAAATGCTGCTGATACTGTAATACAGGGGAAAATAAAAATCCATTAACTACTAGTCTTTTCTTACCATGCACCTACCAAGTATTTGGAGTGGGAGAAGAATTGGAACTTTAGGTTTTGGTACCTTAACTTTCCTTAGAAGCAAGCTGCAATTTCTAAGGCTTCATGTTTCAGTCACAGAAGTAAAACGTACTGGCTTAGGATTCTCATATTAAAGCTGTAAAAACAGAGCAACAAAAACCCCACCCTAAAACACACTCCTGTCCTTTTGACCAGGGTTCTCTCCCTCCACTGAACACTGCTAGCTCTGGGATAACATGCAGGAAATAACACTGTAAAAAAGGATGCATAAAGATCTTCACATTGTTAGGACTTCAACCACAAAGACAGAATCCAGAACAAAAATCTAGAAGCAGATCTAAGAGAATCTCTGTCACAGGTCAATTGATCAGGACTTGCAGATACCAAAAACCTCTTTAAGAAGTTTTCCTTATTCAGTTTCCCGATTGAAAATAAAATCAGCACCTGACACACTTCAGCATCTTTCAGATGCACAATCGTCCTTTCCCAAATACTAATTGAAACCTCAAGTTCTTAAATACAATGAATTCATCTATAAGCTGGACAGTCATAGACAAGGACTCAGTCACAGGGATGATCAAACTGTCAGATCACAGCTGAACCACTGTTGACAGCACTTCCTAGCTCAATAATTTCAGCCTTTCACAATGATTGCTAGCTAAAGTCTTCAAATAAGGCAGGCGATTCAATTGCTTTCTTTTCAGGAACTTGAAATAAGATGCTGCCTATTTCTAAATGGAACATGTCTTTCAGGAGCAATGAGACTTCATCCAATACTTATTTCTTTTGAGGTATTGATATTTACAGTTGTTTACCCATCACCATAAAGCTGCAACTTTCATTTTAGAATACAATATGCAGATTAGCGACAACTAATAGCCTGATAGTGTCAGAATAAAATTAATCTATCTCCTAACAATCCATTAAATATGGCTAATTAGTACTAGTGATTACTCATCAGACCTTTTATTTCACAACATACTGCTTAAACTCACTGAACTGTGAGCTGCTATTCTGATTTTACTGTGGAAGGTGAACCAATGCCAGAAAACATACACAGAAATACAAAATAACAACAACAACAAAAAAACACAGAACATCATTTTTATGGAATTCAGAAATATTACACATCCTTTTTCTTCCCACAGAGGTCAACCACTAATTACCTGAAATCCTCCCTTATCCAACTTGCACCATCATTTCAGAATTTCTCCCCAGGCACCATTTGTGTGAGGGGTGAGGGAGGGTGGTGAGGACAGGCAGTGGGGAGGACAGTTAACCAGCAACAAACTGTATTTTCTGAATGAGACTAAAACAAACCCACACAACCCTCCACATGACAAAACATCTATAGTATGAAAACCCCCCCGATACCAGAAACCTTGCCTTGAATTTCATGATTTGTGCTGAGGAGTGTCCAGAGTTCACCTAACTCCCTAATACAGATTAAAAATAAAGCTGTCCTATTTACACTAATATTTTGAGTGTTTCCCTAATCCTCTCACCGATTCCATTCCCCCATCTCCCAAAAACCAAGAAGAGCAGCTAAGGTAAAACTGAGAAAGATGGTAGCAGGAACAGTTTAGCCTTTGAACAGCACACTTATAAGTTTCACTGCTGCAGGACACATTATGAAATGCTAGGAATAATCAAATTCTATGACGAGGATTGACTTGGAGAACTCATGTAATACATTTAATCTAAACGATGTCCTTGAATGTGTCAGTTTTACTTTCACATAATGAGAAATTCAAAAGAAACACTGCACGTTAACTACAGAAGTATATACTCATGAAAACTTCTTAAAATTATATTTGGACAAGCGAGAGGGAAGGAGAGAGAACTGCTATGCATACAGCTAGCACCAAAACTATTGCTCCAGTTGCATCCTTTGGAGAACTCCTAACCACATTCTACTCTAGTGCTTAAGTTCTTAAAGCATGGCCCACTATGCTTTACATCTTACCTACACTGAGAAAAAAAGCTATTGCACTGCAGGTTAATTTTGGAATGCAGCTGCCACCTAAGTAATTAAGGGGCTTTTCACAACTACTGTCTGATGGCATAAGACGACATTCACTGTTAATAGCAAAGACAATACTTATTGCCATGATAAAAGTTTAGAAAAAGCCACCATATTTTTACCATTAGTTTCCTATTGAATTTAACAGTAGTCACAGAAAAGTACGATCACTTATGCATTCATCCACACGTGCAGCTTGGAGAAACCAAGGCGGATGACACAGATACTGCACCTCAGCAAGGTTTAACATCCATATACAACTTTTAAAAGCATAACGATTAAAAAAAAAAAAGTAGCTAATTAGAGACCTACCTACAGCTCTCCCAGATTTATGCCTGGAGCCCTGCAGCCTTACAGGGCTGTCGAACAGCCCGGCACACGACTGGGAACCAGAAGTTTTTAGCACGGCACATGTTATTTCCCAGCTCAGCCAATGCCTCCCCGCATGACCTTGGGCGAATCCCTCCCCGCGCATCTCCGCTCCTCACCTGGCAGCCCCCGGGTCACGGCGCGCCGAGAACCGACACCGGCTAATTACTCACAGGTGGCTCCGCACCGACGAGGCTACAATAAAGGGAAGGGGAGGTAGGAACTGGCATGGAGGGGGGGGGGGGGGGGTGTTGTTCTTCACCTACAGGTGATAAAAATCTCCCCGCCACGGACTCAGGCTCCCGCCCAGGGGGACAATCTCCCCCACCCCTTCCCCGCTTCCCTCCTGCGCGGGTCGGAGCGGGGAAGGAGGCGGCGGCTCCGGCTCGTAGCGGCAGCCGAGGGAGCCGCGCCCTCCGGGCCTCCCGCCCCCGCCGCCCGAGCCCTCCCGGCGGCCCCGGCCGGCTGCGAGCCCCGCCGGGCGGACACTCACAGGTGTCCCGGAGCCGAGAGAGGCGACGGGCGGCCCGGCCCGGGCTGGGGTGGTCTCGGCACCACACGGGAGGCGAGCGAGCCGGGTCTGCGGGCGCTGCGCTCCCGCCGCGGGGCCGCGGCCGCCGCCCGCCCTTTCTCCGCCCGAGCCGCGCCGCTGGCCAATGCGGGCCGCGCCAGGAGCCGGCTTCGACCATCTGTTGCGAGGCGCCTCCTCCAGCCCCTCGCCAGGGGCTCCCGCCCAAGCGCCGCCGAGCAGGGGGCACCGCAGGGAGCCCGCGGCCCCTCCGAGGAGCTCCTTGCCCTGCGCGCCTCCCCCGCCTCCCCCCGCCGGGATCGCCGCCCCTCGGCGCTGAGGGAGCAGCGAGCGGGGCGGGGTGTTGGTGGCGGAGCAGCAGCTGCGGGAGGGTCTGATCCCCCTCGGATTGAGGGGAGATAGAGCCCCGACCTGATAAAACTTACGCACTTCCCACCCCTTCCCCGGCGTTCCCCGTGTGGGGTGTCAGGAGGCCGACTGTGGAGTGGCGCGGAGGAATGAATGTGCCTCGTCCTGCTGAAGGGCCAGATCTGGGCGTGTTTAGGCGCGGACATCTCCTGTGACCGAGGTAGCCCAAACGAGTCAGGTTTCTCTTTCACTGTTTCGGGTCTCTTTCACTGTTTTGAGTTTTAAGCCTTTCGCGTTCCCAATTGGAGGGTTTTTCCACAAACACGAAGACCACCTTATGCGCCTGGTCCCTTATTTTTGCGTCTATGTCTCCACCCCAGGCAACAGTAGTTCAGATGTTTGCAGTGCAGGTGTAAACTTTCACGAAAGCAGAGCCATAGTTCCTGTTTTAAGTCTCTTTTTGTATTAATAACTTCCTTGTTATGGACCTCCCTGATCGTGATTTTTAATTAGGTTGCTACGTTTTCTGTTGCTTCTGCACAGAAAATCCAAAGAATAAGAAGCCAGCTTTATTCCAACAGGTCCCAGGGTAATATTTTTATGAAGATGTGTCAAGAAAATTATGCAAATTCTTCTCAACTTTCAACAACTTAAAATATTCTTGAGATTCACGCTGTGGAAAGAAAGAAAATGTACATTTTTTCGTGGGTTCACATTTTTTGAAACTGTCAGGTCTTTATTTCTCAACAGAACAGTGTCATTAAATTACAGATTTAAAACCAGAGTATCGACCAGATACAATTTGCAGGACTTGTAGGATTTGAGATATAATATTATGACATTTTTAAGGTGGGGTGAATGTCAAAGAGTCAAAATACGCTTAGCCTTGTAATTAATAATTTTCATTAATAATTTTCATTAATAATTTTCATTAATAA